CACACACACACACACACACACACACACACTCCGGCGTGCGATCGCGCACTTTTCTGTTTTCCCTCAATTAATCAATCAATCAAAATTATCAAACAATACGTGAGTGTGTCAAAAACAAAAAAAAGAAAAAAAAAGTAGAACCTCTTTTGCCTTTTTTTCGTGTTTTTTTTTTCATCTTTCTTTTAAGGAAGATTCTCATGCCTGGCTGGTCCTGCCCGGCCAGGCATCCGGGCGTGACGTCGGGGTACCCACGCGTGCAATTTTTTTATTTTTATTTTTTTTCTGGTTGTCTGCGCTCTCCCAGAGGACCCCAAATCTGGGCACATTTCCTTTTTTGCAAGTTGGCTGTGTGGGGGGGGGGGGGGGGGGGGGGGGGGGGGGGGGGGTTATAAATTGGTTTGAAAGGGGCTAAGCTTCCACTAAAGGGGTTTAAAGGGGGGTGCCTTAGTATGATTCTGTTATTTTCTTTTTTTTCATTGATTCTGTGGGGAATTCTAATGTGGCCCTCAACCAAAGGTCGTTTGTATTGCAATTCTACACAACACATTGTTTTTCCTCTGGATTTTATTTTTTTTTCTGCACTGGGGCTGCCCGGAACCTTGTCCTGCGGTCATGCCTGGCCGGGCACCCGGGGTTGTATCCGGGCATACGTTGGGTTCCCGGGCGCCCAAAAAAACAGCCTAGCTTTTTTCCTTTTATCTTTGCATATGTCCATCAAAAAACAAAAAAAAAACATGCGCAACATGTTTATCCCACCAGCGATCACAAAAAAATGGGGGAAAATGTCCTTTTTTAAATTGATTTTTAAAAATTAAAAAGAATAAAATACATCTTTTTTCAAGATAAAAATAAATTAAAAAACTTGCCCACACCCGACTGCCCGCGGCCGACCCCGGCGGTTATGTTCCCGATCAACGGACGAATTGGACCCCGTGGGATTTATACTGCCCAATCCCGTACTGCCCAACGTCTATCTTCTATTAGGGTTTGTGTCCCGTCTTCAGATATGGCTGCGCTTATTTCTTGGAAAATTTTGGCCAGATGATAACATCCTTTAACTTTATTTCTGGGTTTCTTTTCCTTTTTCCAGTCTCTATTGTTGTCATCCCATATGTGCTTGATTTGCCAGACTCCTCTTTCCACCCACGCTCCCCATCTTGTGTCAATTGTAGTAAGTGTCGTTGGGTTGCATTCCACGTTTGTTATCCCTAGGTTATAGAAAATGAGTTGTCTGAGTATTTCCTCCTTAATTTGTGGTTTCCTCACCTTTTTTGTGAAGATCTCTTTCCTGGCTTTCAGGATTCTTCTCCAGAAGGTTAGCTTGATGTTCCATCCGGCCTGTGCAGAGTTGCGCATGCGATAAGCAGTTTTTCCACCTGCGATGGTGCCCTCGCTGGCTGCGCAAAGATAAGCAGTTTTTCCTATTATGACATCCCGAAGGATTCCGACTCTAGACCTAATCAATCACATTGGCCTTCCCTCGAGCAACACCTCTCCGAGTGGCCGACCCTTCAAGTCCTAACCTTTGGTGAGCCATGGGCCCGCTGCCAGGACTGGGGGTTGCGTCCCAGTGATGCTAAGTCTCGCCCCTTAGCTGGTGCTCGATAAAAAGTTATTTGCTGCTTTTGATCCACCTCTTGTTGACCATGACTTGCTTATGAGTCATGACGCAGAAGGCAATACTGCTTGGTGTGTTGTATATCGGTAGTTGATTGAGACCGTCCAAGGCTAGGGTCCTCTAGGGAAGGTTCGGTCTGGTGATTAACTTTAGGATCCATTTGGTGTGGAGGGCTTGGATTTGGGGAGAAGGGTCTAGAACTCCTAAGTCGCCCTGATTTTTCTTCTTAGAAAACAGCTACATACTGCATCATAGCGAAGATGGAAGAATGTTTAGTACTAAAACTCGCCCATACAAGGAGGCATAAAACTTTCACCCACGAGCCCAGTTTGTCCGTCATCTTGGTTTGTAGGCTGGGTACCGTTTAGGTGGCAGCTCCTTGTTCTGCCATTTGAATACCAAGGACTTTCATCGGGTCCACCCTGGGTTTATTCCTTCGGGGGTGCACTTCAGAAGGGCTACACCGCTGTCTGTGAGCCACCATCCCATTGTTTTCTGCTAATTTATTTGCATTTCTGAAGCTCATTGGAAGGCATGATTGCTTTGTTGAGGGCCTCAAAGGAGGATAGTCTGACCCTTTGATTAGGACAGCAAGGTCATCTTTAAAGCAGGAATATGATTGACTCGGTTGGGATCATCTTCTGCGTTCATCAGTCTATGTATAGACGGGTCCTTTCCTTAAGAAAGAAGCTATAGCCTCCATATTGAAGAGGGAGATCGGTGTCACTAGGGGATCTCCTTGTCTTCCCGACGATATAGTCATTCTGTAGAAAATATCAGGTTGCCACTGGCCATTGACTTGTTCTCCATTGTCGGCATGGGTTGTATAAAACTTTGGGCCCTTTCCTGAAATTAGGCCCTATCTTAGGGGGAAGTTCCAATTTACCTGGTCATAAGCATTTTCGAAGTAAAAAAAAGGAATTGCTACATGGATTTTAGTGTCCTTGAAATACCTATCTAAAACATTTTGCTAAACATTATCTAGTATGAACTTGTCTGGTATGAAACCTATCTGATCTATGTGGAAGCAGTTTTTTTGTGATGTTTCTTATTCTGTTGGCTGGTAGATTAGCTAGGATCTTGCATGCTCCTGTGGGTAATGTGATGATGGGTCTATAATTCCTTATATCTCAGTTGGGTCCCCTTTCTGGCAGAGCAGTGTAACTATTCCTATACTTACATAGGTTCCTAGGCCTTCCTGATTTCAGCCTGATCTTGTGAGCTTACAATAGTCTTCCCCTATGAGCTTCCTATACTTTTCCCCGAACTCTTTTGCGAGCCTGTCCTGTCCTGGTGTCTTTCCTGGTTTCATGGAGACCAATGTCTCCTTTATTTCCTTGTCGGGGTGATTGCTTCATCCACTTGCGCCGCCAAAGCAGATGAGATAGTTTTAGCTAGGTACACGGAGAACTTTTATCGTGCCTATAGCCCTGATCTAGGCGTAGGGTGCGCAATTTTGGAAGCGTACAGACTTTTGAAGAAGGATTCCGCTATGACATAAGCCCTTCTTCTCCTCTCAATTCATGTATCGCTTAGTGACTTCCCCTGCATCTGATCTTCTGCAAGAAAAATCTGGTCATTTCCTCCTTTTCTCCCAATCTTTGATACGCACTCTTAGCCTCAGACCTTTGGCTCTCTAATAGTCTCCATGCATGCCAGCTCAATAGTTCACCTCTTGCCCTAGTCAAGAGCTCCTCACATCAGGCCTCACTGGGGTTACTTATGAGGTTGTTTTTTGGTATGTTGACTGGTGCTTCCAGCTCCCTTATATTCTTTTATTTCTTCTGGCCGCTAGCCTTCTAGAGGCTATAGCATCCACTCTAGACTGGTTGGCTAGGAGGCTGGGGAAGTGCAAACCTTCCTTCTGACTGTCTATACCGGTCTTAGCTATTGCCTTCCTCATTTCGTTCGTGTTGAGTAGGAAGAAGTTGTTGATTTTTAAAAAAGTAGGTTCCTTTCGTAATCTTGGGTCAAGAACAAAACTAGTATGGATGGGGGTTATGGTTTGAATCATTGTGGTAAGGTAACCTCTGCCTATCCCAACGCCATGCAATGCCCCTCTAACTGATTTGAAATGAGAAAGTACTAAAGTAGTTTATTACTGAGCTAGTAATTACGTGCTGACTTCTGTTTCTCTTCCTATAGGTATATGTCCCAGCATCGACATGTGGTGGTTCAAATAGATTTCTCTCCATTCTATTTGCTTGTATTGTTTGAGCTTGTGTTAATGGAGAGCTTTCTCAATTACGGAATTTCTTGTGAGCTTGAAACATTGATCGTTGATTGGATCAAGGGTGGTGTTGCAATCCCTCAGCGATATCCGATGCTTCTGTTTATGAGACTTGGTTGTGATATTTTGTATGAACATCTGTCTTTGCGAGAAGTCGTTTGGTGCATAGATGTTTAATAGTTATATAAGAATTCTTCCTTGTCCGTGAAGCGTACTTCTATCCACCTACCACTTTCTGTGTCCATTCTAAACACAAGTAGAAATACAGAACCTACCATCTTCACCCGAATAGAACGCCCAATCATTATAGTCGTATCTGGTGTAATTTTCAGTCCAGATACAACTATCATGACCGGGTGTTCTATTAGGGTGAAGATGGTAGTTAGGGGCTCGTTAGACACTCCTCGGGTCGTCCTCGGGCCCCAAGGAGTTTTCCTTCGGGCCTTCTGAGAGATTTCCCGCCGTCGTTCCACTTATCCTCGAGAAGGCCTTTCGAGGAGGATTCCTACGGAGGGCCCGCGCCCAGTCGCCCTCCACATAATAATAATATTGCTGACCGTGGGGTGGGGGAAGGGCGGTGGTCCATTGAAGTTTGTCCGCTTAAGCGGCCGTGGTCCAGCTAAGAGTGGCGGCAAAATTGGAATTTTTGCGCCCACCCAAAAAAAAAAAAAAAAAAAATTGGCACGCCATCCCGGTTCGAAATTCAAAATTTGAATGACGTCGCTGGGGTGAGGACGGTTCGTCGTCTGGCTGCGGCGGCTGGTGGAGGATGTTGGAAACGAACCTCCTTCCACTGAGCGTCAGCGGGGTCGGCGTGAGTGCTGCGTGCAGCCAAGCAAGGAAGACGTCGGCGGAGAAGACGTCATCGTGAGAGAGCGATAACGGAGAAGACACCATCGCAAGCCATCGCGGCAGTCGTCGGCGTGAGTACTGCGTGCGACCGGGCAAGGAAGACGTCGGGGGAGAAGACGCCATCACGGCTCGTTTGGGAACGATGGACGGCGGCGACATTGACGTCGGTGGGACGCTGTCGACGGCGGAGAGGGCGGCAGTTGCAGCAGCTGTTACCACGGTCCTCTTTCGTTGTCGGATGGAGAGGACGACGGGGAGAACGGAAGCGCAGATCCGCGCGAGGAGGAGGAGGAAGGTCACGCAGTTCAGAGCGATGGAAGGGTTGGACACCGCCGCCATCTGCGAGGCCCCCATTCACGTGTGCTGCACCTTGGGTTGCAGAGCTCTTCCCATACCAACGTCGAGGTGGTGGATGAAAAGAAGGACGGGTCGGGCGTGGGTGGATGAAAAGAAGGACGGGTCGGGCAACGGAGGACTACTTTCGGGACAAGCTGCACATGTCGCCACGTGTCTTCAGAGCGATTGCAGAAGATCTGTCGTCGTTCCTGCACCGGCGTGTGACATTCTACAGGCAGCCGCTGCAGCCTGATCAGATCGTCACGTACACGTATCGGTGGGCGTCAAGGGAGACGTACGAGAGCAGCACGTGTAGCTTCGGCATCGACAGAGCATCAGGTTTGGTGGCGGTGTGGGACGTCACTGCGACATTCTTGACTGTCTACTGTGACAAGATATCATGGCCAACGGGGGTGCCCAAGTCGGTCGTCCTCCATGCTTTCGCTGACAAGGTTCCCCAACTGCCATGGCTGCATCGACTGCACGCATATCTACATCGACAAGCCGGCAAACACCCTTAGCGAGGACTACTACGATGGGAAACGACGTTTCTCGATCATCGCACAGGTTGTCATCGATCTGAACTTGTGTGTGCTGGACGTCTTCGTCGGCTATCCTGGAAGCTGCCACGACGCCAGGATCATCCACTTGTCGAGTCTATGGGTTTGTGCAGAGGATGGGGAACTTTTCACAGGCCCGCCTGTGATGCTGCCATTCGGCGTACAGACGAACGACTACCTCTTGGGAGACAATGGTTACCCACCATCCGAATGGATAGTTGTTCCCTATGGCTGCACTACTCATCACCCGTCGGAGATGAGGTTCAACAACAAGCAGAAGGCCTCAAGGGGGGCAGTTGAGAGGGTTTTCAGCACACTGAAGGGGACGTGGTGGCTGTTCCTGCGGTCACACAAGACAAACATGGAGACGTTGCCGCAGCAGTTTCTGCCTGTCTGCATTCTCCACAACCTGCTCATCGACGTCGACATCACGTTTGATGACAATCTATTGTGGGAGGTGGATGCGAACGAAGTGCGTTGTTGTGTAGATCTCGGAATCCAGTGTCCCTTGCGGCCGATGTGCATGGAGAGCTCGACGGGAGATGCGCTGATTTAGAGGGATGCACTGGCCGAGAGGATGGGTGGCCTCTGACGACGCTAGGCAGGAGAGAGAGAGAGAGAGAGAGAGAGAGAGAGAG